GTAATATTACGACTTTAAACTGGTAATATTACGACTTTAAACTTGTAATATTACGACTTTAAACTGGTAATATTACGACTTTAAACTGGAAATATTACGACTTTAAACTGGTAATATTACGACTTTAAACTGGTAATATTACGACTTTAAACTGGAAATATTACGACTTTAAACTGGTAATATTACGACTTTAAACTGGTAATATTACGATTTTAAACTGGTAATATTACGACTTTAAACTCGTAATATTATGATTTTATTCTCGTAATAAAAAGTGATAATAAAAAAAAATCTTGTGTGGCCCTAATACAAAGTCGTAAGAATTTTCTATTTTTTATTTTATTTTTTTTACAGTTCATCATGAAACGTTCAAAGTTCATCCAGTAACTAACTGATTACTGAATCATGTAGCGGAGTCTTTTGTGGTTCACTTCTCTCTCTTAAAATGTCACAAGAAGGAAGTCAAGGAAGATACTTTGTTGAGACTTAAACACAGACTTTCATAAACCCACAGAGCTCTTTGAGAACAAAATCTAGTAAAAAGAAAGCAAAAACAGTAAAAATGTGTGGATAGAAGGAAAGCTCTCTGCATGGTGCACATTCCTAATCCTTAACTTATTCACAGTAAGTTAATGTAAAGTACATGGATCACTTTAATTCCACAGTTTTACTCAGTTTTCCTCTTTTTAAAAGCTCAACTTTTAAGTTGCGACTAAAGATATTCCTCTTTGATTTGATGTCCTTCAACGAAGTTGTAGCGATTCTCTCGGGTCTGTTTAGGCTGTTGGATACAGTATGTGGCTTTTAGAAACTTTTACAGCTCATGCAAAATGTATTTTGCAGTCCACAGATGAACGTGATACAAATTTTGTGTAAATATTTTTGTAAAAAAAAACATGCACGAGGAGAAAAAATATTTGAATATTTTGTTGTATTTTGTATATCTTAAAAAATGCCGATGAAATTTCTTGCATTAAAGTCTAAATTTTGAATTTGCTATTTATTTCCCCCCCAGCTAAGTTTAGCGCTTATTTTTAGGACTCAGATGTAACTTCTTTATAAACTTTTTGAGTGCTGAATGACTGTTTCAAAAGCTACGTATAAAAGTTGGTTATGCAAAAAATAAAACTGTTAAAAGCTAAAATGAGTGAAATTCAAATTCTTTTATTTTACTAAATGTTTTATTGTGGCTTATAACTGAAGTTGACTGCATCCTTTTATCCTG